AAAAGGAGGTCAATCAGTCCTAAAGGAGAACTAGTCAAAATGAGGATGAGGAGGAGAGGGCAGTGCTGGAGGTAAGGGAATGCCAGGTGTTCTCCAGGCAGCAGGCACAGGGTGGCCTCGCTTCCACCTCCTGCATTTACAGACCCTACTTATTGCCCCACAAAGCCGACTTTCCAAAGAAAGGTTGTGGGAGAAATTTTCGTGGATCCCATTTTCTTGGGCTGTGCTACGCAGGCAGGAAAAGGGCTGGAGCTCTCCTTTCAGGAACAGAAAGATGAGGGCCACTTACGACTGTCCATAGAGACAGACAAGAAGCCCAGCACAGGCAGAGCTGAATCTCTGAACTTGAGCGAACTTCGTACCCCTTTCAGCCTCAATCTCCTCATCTGTATAAAGAGCGTTATAATTCTACCTACACTTTCATTATATGCTGCAGACTAAATCTGCCATAATGTATTAAAATGCTTAACAAAGTCCCTGGCATAAAGCAAAAGCTTAAAAAAAAACCCCACCACAATCTAGTTGTTTTTCACTATGGAAAAAAAAAAGAAAGAAAATATCAGGGGAAATAAGAAGGGGAGGAAATACCAACATAACAGCAATCAGGGCTTCACCTCAAAGCGGGCAATGAAGTCCTTCAGGTTTGGGAAGGCCTCTAAGCACTTAGGCTCAAAGTTGTGGCTCACATCAAGGAAGTCATAAACAAGGAAGTCTGCAAAAGTGGTCTGGGGAAATTCAGAGAGGACGGGGTTAGAAGCTCCATCATCTGGAACGAATGACATCCCCATGTCCCCTTCAGTCTTTACCTTGTTCCCTGCAAACCATGGCTGCTTCCCCAGACACTTCCCCAGAGTAGAGCTTTATCTTACCAGGCAGCTCCTTCAGGTACTGAAGCTTCAGCTTCTCCTGGGGTAGAAAACAGCTGTTACTACAAGCAGACCCTGCTCGCTGGTCAGAGAGAAAGCACCCACACCTCTCCGATGACAGGAAATCAGAATCCTGTTTAGACTGTCCCTGGCTTACTGCCCAGGCTTTTGTTTACTCCAATTAGCATTCTTCATACCCCTACTATCTACCTACCTCTCAGAGGGCATGAGAAGGAATCCATAAAGCCTTGCATCACCATTGATCTCCATCAACTGTCTTATCTGTCACATCAGGTCACTGGGAGGCCTGGGGTTAGTGAGACTCAGATGTGACAGAACAAGAACTACAAGAGCTCTAAGAAGTGGAAGTTCTGGCTTGTAGTGTGGCACACGAATGCAGAGGACATTTATTTGAGTAGTTTTCTGTAGATGAGGGAATTTAGCAATGCTCAAAGGGAGTACGGAGAGGAGAGCATTCTTAGACAAACAAAAATACTAAGGTAACACCCTGTGGCTAATAAGTGGTAATCTGCAAGGACCAAGGGGGAAAAAAACCAAACCTGGCACATTTTGTTAAACATTTTCATTTCTACACTGGAGAGTCTAGACTTTATACTAAAATTGGGAGAGATTGATTTAGAGGTTACAATTGGGTGAGATTTAAGAATAGAAAGGTCACTCTGGTAGCAGTACAGGGGACCCTTTGAAAGGATCCCTATCTCTGAGGAGTTTAGATGTCTCAGAAAACCAGTGTAAATACAATGCAAGTCCCACTACAACGCAAGCCCCGCCCCGGCCCAGCCCATCACACACTCATAAAGTCGGGGTTGTAGCACAACTGGATCAGACTCATGCGAGAGTCCATGGCTTGATTTTCCAAGATGTCCACTCGAATCTTCTCCTCTTCTGTCTCCCCACCTGGGATTCACAGATCGGACACTCACCTTCAGGTGCTCCCTCAGCCTAGTGCAGGGAAGGCCACCTGGCCCCCACTCCACCCCACCTGCCCACCCCACTCACACAGGTTGTGCTTGCGGGCGATGTAGCGCAGGATGGCGTTGCTCTGAGTGATCTTGTGAGGACCGTCCACTAAGTAGGGCAGCTGCCGGGAAACCAGGCAGGGCTGTCACACCACCAGACTCCCCCACACCTCTTCCCCTAACCAAGGGCAGAGTTGAGACCTGGCACACTCAAGGTCTGGCCCAAGGAAAACACTACAAAACTACATGTTCTAGAACACAGAGCACCGTGGAAAGACAGTGAAAGATGCAGGAACAAGAGAAATGGAGAAGATACCTGATCCTACAACGGCCAGGGGAGAAAGGAGATGGAGGAAGAGACCCCCTTCACCACCCCCACACCCAGTACCTACATTGGGAAAGTCCAGGCCCAGCTTGAATTTTTCATTCAGCCACTGACTTCTGTCATAGTCAGGAGCTGCAGTGGAACATACTTCCTCAGGGTCACACTCTCCTTCTGAACCATCCCGAGAGTCTTTGCAAGGGCCCCTGACAAGGGTGGTTCTGGAATCCGCAGAACCTCTAGTCCCAGGCTTACAAAATGTCTAGACAAACCTTAAGGGGTACCCTCTTATGATCACTCATGAAGGTGGAGCTGAACTCCAGACCAGAGCCTGCAGTGACAAATGGAAGGGCAGATACCAGATCTAGCTGATAGAGGCCACATAGTGGTAGGCAATAGGTGGCCAGTGGACAACAGGTAGCCGGGATACAAGTGTGTTACCAAATCAGCATTAGCTTGCAGAGGGCCAATATAAAGGTGTCATACCGTCCCCCATTGTGTACTTTTTTCTTCATACTTCGAGTCTGTGTATTCCAGGAGCAGGCGGATGGTATGAGCCAGCTGGGAGACAGTGTGGAGAAGGTGTCAGAGTACAGGCTCCTGACCACCTGACTCCACCTCCTCCAGGTAAACCAGAGCCACCCACACCAGAGAAGGCAGAACGGGACCCCACATAGCTCGATCCTGATGCCTCTCACGATGCCTCAAACACCAGGCCTGGAAATAGTTCTTTCCAACAAAGCTCTAAGAAGAATCTTCTAGAATCCATCCCCTCCCCACTCCCCTGGGGCTTGGCTCTCCCCCAACTCTTCATTGCACCCTGTCCCACTCAAGCAGGTGCTCTCTGTACTCACCCCGTGGAGATCCCAGTAATCGAGGATCATGACCATGATGCAGGTTAGATGCATTCAGCCAACTGTCTTCCAGGACTCAAAGCCTCCTTTGAGAATTTACCGGGGTGCAGGCACAGCATGAAGACAGCCGATACCACCCCTCGTCCCAGTCTTGTCCCCTTCCAGCACCACCTCTTGCCCCTGCCTCACCCACTTTCTGTGCTGCAGAGATCGGATGCCCTTTATTCCTTACACCTCCACCCTACGTTTCTGGGAGCCAGACCCAACAGAAGGTGGGGAGTAAATTCCATTTCTTCAGCCCCTTAAAGATTCTAGTAACTGATAACTCCCGAAACCAAAGTGGTTCGAATCCATCAGCTGCTCTACCAGAAAGATGGGAAATTTCCTCGATTTACAGGCGCTCAAAACCTATTGAAAGGTCAATTATGGGTCAGTTCCAATTTGACTGCCCATAACATGATGAAAACAGCTAGGGAACACTGATGACCTGGTTCAGAGGGAGTTTCGCTGCTAACTCAAAAGCAGCCGCAGAAGAAAGCCTGGCAGTCTCCCAAGAGGTTCACAGCCTTCCAAAGCCGGTTGGAGGATCAGCTGGAATCCGGTTCCTGCTCCGCAGCCTTGAGTTAGAGCTGAGTTTTGATGAAAATAGATGAGAGGAACTTTAAAAAAGAGAATCATTTGTACCTAAAAAGACGTGTGGTTGGCACACTACAGAAATAAGAGTTTTTCTGATTATTTCTGATGTAAGATGAAACGAAGTTCTTGAGCATAATAAAGATGAACCCTGAAAGAATGATACTAAATGAAATAAGCCAAACCAAAAAAAAAAAAGAAAAAAAAAGACAGATAGTGTCTTTTCCAATTATACGAAATATCTAGGATAGAGAAATGCACAAAAGATGGCAGGTAAATCAGTGGTTATCAAGGGCTAGGGCAGTGAGAATGAAGTTAACTGTTTAATGTGTCACAGATTTCATTTGAGATGATTAAAAAGCATTTCCTTTTAAGAGTAGGGGTGAGAAATGCCCAGTATGTGGGGTGGTTAAACAACATCCTCACTGCCTTCAAATCAGTTTGAATAATGGCAGTTTTCGCTGTGTTTCAGAGACTTTAAATCTATACCACAGGAAATGGGCGCTCTTTCTCCTGAGAAGCAGCTGGTGAATTCAAACCATGGTGAGCAGCATGGCACCAGAGCTGCTTGAAAGTGTGATGGTGGTGTTGGTTGTTACTGAGTCATCTACAGCTCAAAGCAACCCTATTCAATAGGGTTAATAGCTCTGAATCTTGCCCTATGCTGAGCCAATCTCACTGTCTCAGACATACTTAACCCCAATAATGTCCCAGTTACTGTGTCAATCCATCTCATCTGGGGTCTTCCTCTCCTGTGCTGACCATCCATGCTCTGAAGCATGATGTCCTTTTCCAAGGATTGGTCCCTTCTGGCAACAAGCCCAAAATATTTGAGACAGAGGTTCACAATCCTTGTTTCCAAGGAGAAACTTGGTTTTACCCATTCCAGGACAAGTCTGTTTGTTCTCTTGGCCATCCATGGTATGTTCAATACTCTTCTCTAGCACCACAGCTCAAATGCATCAATCCTTCTTCTGTCATCCTTAGTCATTGTCCAGCTCTCTGGTGCATAGCAAGTAATTGTGAGGACCATGGCCTGGATCAGGCACACATTAGTCTCTAAACTGACATCATTGCTCTCTAATGTTCTGGAGAGGTCCCTGACAGCAGATTTTTCCTATACAATTGACTTTTAAATTTCCTGTCTGCTGGTTTCAAGAGTGTTGATTGTGGAGCCAAGTAAGCAGAAATTGTTAACAATCCCATTGTGCTCTCCATGGTGCTGCCAATTGGCCCAGTGGTGAGAATCTTTGTTTCCCTAATGTTGAACTTCAGTCTGTATTGAAGGCTGCAGTCCTTGATCTTCTGCAGCAAATGCTTCAGGACCTCCTTGGTTTCAGCAAGCAAGGTTATATCATTCGACTAACGCAGGTGGTTGAAGAATCTTCCTACAATTATGATACCACAGTTCTCCTCATAGAGCCTAGCCTCTCAAATAATCTGTTCTGCATGTAGACTGAAAAGGTACGGAGCCCAGACACATTGTTGATGCACTTCTTTCCATGACCTAAAAATATGTGTTATGGTTCCTGATTTGAGTTCAGACTGATCCTTTCAATATTTGACTTGAACATACTTTTCTACCCCAAGTTTGTTGAATCCAAACTACATTTTAACAACACAGACAGTGCTTAGGAAAGGACATCATGTTTGGAAAAGTTTACAGTGAACAAAAAAGAAGACTCCATGGAATAAATGGATTGGCAGTGACTGGAACAGGGGATTAGACACAGTAGAAGTCATGATGACGGCACAGGGTCAGGCAGATTTGTTGTGTACACAGGGTTGCTGAGTCAGAGCCCACTTGACAGATCTGACAATGTTTGAGATCTAAATCGATTAAACAAGCAAACTAAGGACCAGAGAAGGGGAAAGATAGATGGCTGCTCCACACGAGCTCATCCAGAGCAGAAGTCTGGGGGCCGGACATACTGTATACAGATCAAAGATTTCCTGGGCTAGTGTGATTCAGCAGGGCATGTCGCTGACAGACCTCTCTCACTTCAAAACTCCCAAATGGCTCCCAGTTCCAGACAAAAAGAGGCTTTCACTTTCTCCTCTGTGATGAATAAGGACCGCCTGGTCCTGCCAGCTTGATAACCCACTCCCCCTTGTCAGCTCTGCTCCACCCCAAGTTGGTTTTTTAAAATCTTTTATTGATTTTCATATAATACTTTTACAGTATGTTTCATTCACATACATTGTGTTTTATACAATCTTTCATTTACATGTGTTTCATATAATTATTCATATACATTCTATTTTACATTTTTTTATACTAGTTTTATTTACAAACTTCAAATACATTGTTTTCCTACCAGATCCTTCCCATTTCCCTCAACCCCCAATAAATTTTGTGAACCAATGATTAATCCCTCCCACCCAGCACATCCTCACCCCTGATTCCACCTCCCTCCCACCTTGGATCCTCATACTTATTCTACAATAATGCTTTTATCTAGTATTTGTCCTTAGGAGACTGAGTTAGTTCACTGAACATAATGCTCTGTAGTACCTCCCAAGTTAGATTATAATGGAAAAAATAATTGCTCCTGTGTGCTGTAGTATTCCATTTGTGTCAATGTAGCATAATTTCTCAATCTGTTCAATTGTGGTTGGGCATTTGGGCTGTTTCCATGTTCTTGCGATGGTAAATAATGCTGCTTATGAACATTGGAGTACAAGTCTCCATTTGTGCCTCAGTTGTTCTTCTCTTGGGTTATATTTCATTAGTGGGGTCATATGGAATTTCTATGTTCAGCTTTTTGAAGAAGCACCCAACTGCTTTCCAGAATGGTTGTACCACTATACAATCCCACCAAAAACATGTAAGAATTCCTATCTCACCATATTCTCTCCAAAATGTATAACTTGCTGTCCTGTTAAACTTTGCCACTGCAACTGGAGTGAGATGGTA